CTGCGGCGCGGACCCGGGGCTGCCCCGCGCGGCCGCTTTGGGGGGCGGCGCCGCCAGAGCCCGCCCTGAGCCTCGAGGGCGGCCCCGCGCTGAGGCCTGGAGCCGCGGGCACCTGTGCGCCGCCCGGCCCGCCGTGCCCGCGCGTCCCCCCGCCCCGAGGCGCGGACGCTTAGCTGCGCCGTGACTTTTTGACCCGCTGTCACGGAATGGGGGACTGCGAGCAGTGAAAGAAAGAGCAATGTCTTCCGTGGAAGAAAATCCAGCAAGAAGGCAGACGTTTGCTTTGGGCTTCTGTGGTATCATTACAAATGGGGTTTACATTAACAGAAATTGAGTTTTGACTCCGTCTATTTTCAACAAGTCTTACTAGAGAGCCCGTGTCACTGTACACCAGCTTGTGGAAAGAAAGCAAAAAATAAAAGAGCAGCAAGATGGAAGCCAAGAGCTGCTCGGTTCATCTGAACTCAGGCCCTTTTGCTCTCAGTAGCTGCACCCCCTACGGTACTCCTCTCGGCAGCACCATGCTGGCAGCAGCAGGCTGCTCTGTGTCACAGCAGTCGCTAAGGAGCGCAGCGCAGCCACATCCTGCTGATCCGACCCAGAAACTCAGCCTGGCAGTCCTGTCCAGGCTCTGCAGAAACCCACGCTCACCCCACAGAGACCAGAAACAAAACAGAAGTTACTTCCAGCTGAGACCAGCAAAAAAAGAGAAGAGAGAAAATGAAGGGGACTTCTTGCACTGAGCAAGGCGTATTTCTGAGGATTTCACATTCAACACAGAATAGTCCCTGCAGTTAAACTTGGTGGATATGACAAGAAAAGTGCTCACACTCTGTATTAGGAGGACAGCACTCACTGCAGAGCAGTCCTTATCTTTATATGTACACCATCCATTTAAAGTGGCATTTGCATGAAGTGCTGAGATCAGCCATCACTGCCATAGTTATTACCGTCACACTAAAGGAGTCCAAAATTTCTCCCAAAGTACAACATCCTCCCCTCCTGTTCACAGAATATCACAGGCAGCTGCATCAGAGGCTCTAAACTACCACGCTGTTTTGAGCTGGCTCAATAGTTGAGCTTTTCTACTCAACTGCTTCTCAGTCCTGGCTCATGTAACAGGACTTTCATACAATCATAGAATGGCCTGGGCTGAAAAGGACCATAATGATCATCTAATTTCAACCCCCCTGCTGTGTACAGGGTTGCCAATCACTAGACCAGGCTGTCCAGATCCATATCCATCCTAGCCTTGAATACCGCCAGGGATGAGGCACCTGCAACCTCCTTGGTTCCAAAGTGTCACCACCTTCTCTGTGAAAAACTTCCTCCTAATATCCAAGCTAAACCTCCCCCCGTCTTAGTTTAAAGCCATTCCCCCTTCATGGTATGTTTCCACACAGCACAGTCAGCAGTCTTTTCTGGGAAACAAAAGGCACAAAAACATCCATACGCAGAGCTAATTTTCCAAGTAATGACCACATCTGCAGCTCTCAAACTGGTAGCATTATGTCAACTTTCCACACTAAGATATTAGCAAGTATCATCAAAACAGGTGTGCAGCAGCCTTAGTGAGAACATGCTTCATCTTGCCAGATACTGTAGTCTTGGATTAAAACTGTGCTTGGAAAGGAGAAAGCCACACGGGGTCTGATGGGGAAACTGAAAAACCTAGTCGGGCTGGCTGGTGCACTTCCTCTTGTGCTCAGTCCTAGGAGGGTTCTGTGAAACACAAACACCCACAAAAATAGGAATATGAAGCCTGTAAGTTTGTGTTTAGGCAATTTCTGGCCAACAGCAGGTAAGAACAAAATTTCCCGAAATATTTCTCAGCTCCCTGTACTGAGATTTCTTAATTTTTTTGGCCACAACAGTCAGGCCTTGTAGCCTGGTCTACTACCATAGGCCTTGCCTCTACCTCCCTTATATATACATACATACATACATAAAACAGTAAAAAGAAAGTTCCTTCACTTCCATCTGACACTGGATGAATACCATTTGCTACTAGCAGCCACTCATGCACAGCACAACTTCCTCGTCAGGCTTTGTGTCGGAAAGCACCCAGCTTTCCCATACCCACTGGGCTCAGTAAAGCTCCTGTGAACACTTAGAGTTCAACATGCAACGTCAACAGAATTTAACCATCATCATAACCAATCTGCCCTTTATTATCTTTGTTATGCAACACTTTCACATAATGTTATACTGCATGTCTTGATCTGGACAATGAGTTAAGTAGGAGACTGGATATCAGTTCTCTGTTGTGCCACACACATTGTTCCTGCACAGTACTAGAAGAAAGGAAAACACCCTTGTAGAAATAAATCTGTCTGCACTGTACTTAAGTGCTACGGAGAATGGGGATGTGGGTGGGAATTGGGTGAACAGACCGACCAAGAGGGAGGGCAGCAGCCTTCCCTGCACCAGGAATTCCTCCTGTAGGAATATAAATGCGTCTGCAAATTATCTGCCAGATTCCCACATGCACGTCTACATCTCAGACAGATCTCTACATTAGTCTGATGTTTCCACAGCCTGACAGGATGTGGTTGCTCAAAGGCAGCCAAAATCTGCACCGCCACCCCCCTTGCTCCTGCCCTGCCATACAGCTGAGCAGCAGCTCTACTCCATTTTGCTCTCCCAAGTCAGACTTGCTGCTGCATTTAAATGGCATCGTGAAGAAGGACAAGGAGATACACTCAACATTTCCCTTAGCAGCGCCCCTGTGGGGCACAGATGAAGCATAGGACTGATGGCTGTCATTTGTTATTGCCAACCATTTCTGAGGTTGTAGCATATCTAGCACGTGTCTGCTTATTCCCTGTTGCCTATCTGCTAGCAGCAGCACACACATCCTACTGAACTTTCTTCCCCTCTCTCATGGAGTCAGATTAGAGAAACGCATAAGTATCACTACAACAAATCTGGAAACAATAAATCTAAAGCTGAACTCATAACTATTGCAGCCTTCTGCTGCATTAACCAAAAAAGGAATAAACACTCCCCCAAACGTTATGGTGTTTGTACCGTTTGTCTTTGCTAGTACCTTTCTTGTAGATGTCTGCATAAAAAACAAGTGAAGTACGAAGGCAGGTGACAGCTAGACAGCTGACTAATTCTCTTCTGGTTACATTAGTCTCTGCATCTCCCCAAAAATGTGCTTCACCAACTGTGGAAAGCATTAGGCTGTCATAATACGTCAGTGGCACATACAAATACATACCTCTCTTTACCATCCCTGAAAATAATCTGCAAGAAAATTTTCAGCAATCCGCCGCATAGCCCAGTGCTCCATCCAGAAACCAGTTGAGTCAGCAGAAAGACTGATGCTGATTTTCAAGGGCTTTGGACAAGGTTTTACAGCACACAGAGAGGACAGGACAAGGGTGAGAAAAAGGCTTTACTGCATTGTAGTAGCTTGTATTTCACTGGCAAGAAAGATTTGCATTATTAGCCTGCTTGGCTAGAGGTTTAAACTTCATCTCCTGTCCTTATGTTTTGTGAAATGTCAAGTTCCTTGGTTCTGCTTGAAGTTTTTCATTGGAAAAGGGGGAAAAAAAGAAAAAAGGAGGATGAGGGAAAGGGTGAACAAAACCAAGTCAGTGAGAGGAAAGTTCAGTATTTAAGTTTTCTCAGCCCTATTCCATCTATGGCTGCATGTGAGACCTTTAATCTCCCGTGTCAATCTTCTAGGAAACAGGAGCTGAATAATAATAATAAAAAGCCATATAAATATTTTCAGGAGTTCTTAATGCATAAGATAATTACGTATGAGTTTAAAATGTTCTATTTTTTACCCCTTCCAACTGAAGACAGTAATTGTTGGACTCTAAAAGCAGTATCGTCTAATGCTCATGGTCTTATGTGATTCATCAGCTCTGAAGTTCTCCTTTTTCAATCTAAATCTTGATTTCTCTCTGACTTACACTTTGAAGTACATCTGACCTTCCGAGAACTCAGCACAAATGGTCTCCCTGGGGTAAGATTCCTGTCACATTGATACACCCTGTGCAAACCCTTTCAGTGCAACAGCAGGTAGTTGTACAAACAGTGTTTACCTAATGGGTCTTACTAATTGGGAAGAGATCACTGATAGCTAAATGGACACTGCTGGTATCTCTTTATGTTCTCTTTTCATCTAAATAACCTGAAGCAATTAGTTGTCTGTAACCTCTAGCTTTGAAGTCTTTTTTACTTCAAATTTACTGAAACATTGCATTAACACAGAGTCTTGCAAAGATACTAAGATTTAATCTCAGTTACATCAGAACATTATTTTACTGAACATGTCACGCCTTTGATCCTTTTGCCTCTCAGTTTCTGATAATTGAAGCAGTGATAATATCACTGCTGTTCAATACTAAGTACAGACACCAGAACACCATCAATGCACAGGTTCCAATAGTGATGAAATCTACCAGCTGAAACAATTAATTTTGGAAAGAAAGGGAGTATTGCAAGAGCTAGAATAGCTAGGAATGCACATCAAACCATCCTTGGTGTGCAGAGGGGAAGAAGGGACTACACCTGAATCTCTGCCAGAGCCAACACCAGTTTTAGGAGCCAAGCAAAACTTGGGATTGTTCTGCCGGCAAAACCCTTCTCCAAAAACTCAGCAAGATTCTTCACAGCACCCACAAACAAGCACCAGATTACATTTTCAGGTCATACGAAGCAAGAAATCCTATCCTTGGAGTTGCATTTAATTTGAAGGGGTGTGGGAGCACACAGTGACTAACATGGAGTAGCCACCAAGGAGAGAAGAGCACTGCAGTGGTTTTC